CTTCAAAAATGCAAGACCCAGTTCCTGAAAGGAACGAGTTGTCCTATACCAAATGTCACAAACCCGATTTCGCGAGAAAAAGGGGGCGCGACAGTCATCAAAGAAGCGAAGAGGGCCACCCAGGGGAAGGGTCGCAGGTGCGGAGTTTGGCGCGCAGATGCGCATCCGCAGAAGTGGAGAAGGAACCGCAAATGCGAAATCTGGGCATTTGCTACTGGACCGCAGGTGCGATCGTGCGCCACAGAAGTGGGGTCGCAGGAGCGGTCAGTGCTTCGCATGAGCGGATTTGCTTGGGCTTAAGTGGAAGTCGCACGTGCGATGAAATTTCCGCAGGTGCGACTGTTTGGCTGCAGGTGCGATGATCGCTGGGCAGAATGCTTTGTTAAGTACGGGATTTGGCTCACTCTTCTCTTATTTTCTCTTGGTTGGGAGATCCGTAGAGCTCTTGAATAGGAGATTTTCATCATCTATTGCAAGGTAATTAAGTAATTCTTGCATATTGTAAGTTAATTTCATGAATTTCATAAGGATTTAATATGGAAAATTGTGGGATTTTTTAAGAAAAACCTAGAATTGGTAATTTTTTTTTAATTTTGACCACGAAATTGAAAATGGAATTAGGAATAAATTATATATTTGAGTTCATGGTGTCATGGGTAATTTTCATCTTTGAAAAATATATATTTGAGATCGTGCGATGTAAGGGAGGCATTTTATTGTGATGCGCATGCGGCGAGATAAGGGTGGCTTATGCACGTGCGGCGACATAAGGGAGGTATTAATTGTGATGCGCATGCGGTGGCATAAGGGTGGCAATATTGATGATGTTATGTGATATTTTGGGGGGTTTTCCTTTGATGTTGTTCATGTGCTGGAACAAGGTTAATATTTGTTCACATACTTATTTCTTAAATGTTCCCGTCTTGTGATCTATGAGTTTTTAGTTGATTTTTACATACTATTACATGCTCAACTTCTATTGATATTTTGTTGATAAAGATGGGTTATTCTACATTGAGTTGTTATTATACGCTCTACGAGATTGTTGGTATTTGTTACATTCTGTTGTTAGTTTTTTTTGATATATTGCACATGTTATTTGACTAGTGAGTATCATAACTTGAACCTCGTCACTACTCCACCGAGGTTAGTCTTGATACTTAGTGAGTACCAACTGTGATGTACTCATACTACACTTCTACACATTCTTTGTATAGATCCAGGCACTTGAGATCGAGCTGATCGTTAGAGAGATGTGTTTGAGCTTGGTAGAGACTTCAAGGTATCCCTTGCTATTCCGTTCGCAGGCCTCTTCTTGGGGCAGTGGTACATGCCCATAAGCTCCAGTACTAACAACAAAAACAATACCAATTTCTTTAAGGGAAGAACAACTAAAGTATCTTGACATGGAAAAGAATTCACTTTATAAACCAAACAGTCATTCAATTAGATCAAAACCTTTAAGTAGTTAAATAGGAGGAGGCACCCTCTTTACTTTATTTTTTCTATTATTTATGTATTCCAAATAGTATTGTACTCTTTGAGACTTGTTATGTATTCCATATAGAGATTATGACTCAGTATTATTGGATTTTGAAAAGTTGATTATTATGTCCATGTTGTTCATATTATTGTATTTTGTAATTTTTGTTAAATTTAAAGTTGTTATATTCTAATTTATATCGTTATATGATAGGCTTACCTAGTCTTAAAGACTAGGTTCCATCACTATCTATGGTGGAATTTGGGTCGTGACAGTTTTGAAAAAACTTCAAATCCCCGATTTGAAGTTGGATTTGGATGAAACTTGTATATTTGGACTCATGTTGGAATGAGTGATCAGGATTTGTGACTTTTGTTGTGTTCCAGGAGGCAAGCCCATGTTGACTTTTTGATATTTGATAAAGATTGGAGCTTTACTACTTGGAATCGATTTTTATAGCCATGTTTGGTGTTATCGAGTTATTTTTGACTAAATTTGACCCGTTCGGAGGCTGATTCGAGAGGCAAAGGCTTTTTAGAGTATTGATTAGACTTGTTTGAGATAGTATCTTGCCTAATCTTGTCTGAGGTAATAACCCTTAGGCTTGTGTCGTATTCATTTAATTGTGATGTTGTGATATGGCGGATATTCGAGGTGACGAGTGCATATGTAGGTGCTATATATGAAAATAATCGGATTAGACTTTAAGTTTCTACTATGTCTTGATTTGATTGTGGCCTCTCTTTGATACATGTATAATTTATTGTATGACTACACGAGCTTACCCTTTTCATGCTAAAGATCATGTTTTAGGATTTTCATTTCCTAAATTGACCAAGTTGGGCATTTATGGGATCATTACTAAATTGATTTGGCCATAGTCATGCTTTATTTGTTGAACCTTCATTCACATTTATTTATTTTCATGCCTTTGTGCACTTTGTTGATAAATTGTGGGCGTAATTCTTTTGTAAATGATTTGCCTTATTGTATTATTGTGATTATGACACATGTAAACATGTTGGGCGGATTGTTTGGGCGTTGACACGAGATTTCGTCGTGCAAATGTGATTGATATTGCTATTTTATCGGGTGCGGAGCGATAATGGTGGATAATGCTCTTGTATTAATTGTGGAGCGATAAGAGCAGCTATTGCTATTGTGTCGGGTGCGGAGCGATAAGTGCAGATATTGCTATGTGTTGGGTGCAGAACGGATATCGCTATTGTATCGCGTACGGTAAGGGCAGATATTGCTATTTTATCGGGTGCGAAGCGGAAAAGGTAGATATTGCTATTATGTTGAGGTGCATCGTGACTGTAAGGCCCTGTAAAAGTTCGCCAAAGATTTAAGGTTTTATGGTGCCAAAGTCAAGCTATTATGTTCTGAAGGTTGTAGAAGCTCGTCAGGATATAGATTTATGGATTCCGCAATGCATCGTGAAGTGGGTAGAAAAATCGGCAGGATAGGGCGATTCTGCGATTAGTTATATGGACTTGAGTCGATTTCTCTATCCGTAAAATCATTGCAGATTGAAGCAGGAGCAACTAAATTTTGAGGGTTATTTTGCGGTGGGTATGAGGATCGCATAACTGTTTCACGGATCGCATATCCATCGCGAAATCAGTAGAGGCACTGGTGAATTTTTGAAGGAGAATGGAGAATTCGCGGTTCAATGTACGGACTGCAGAACCATTTGCAAATTACGGATCCGCCACAGATCTGTCCAGTTCCAACTAAAAATCTGGAGGGCCATTTCATAGACCGCATATATGTTTCACGGTCCTTTCCGCAATCGTAGACCCGACATCGGAGGGGTATTTATGAAAAATTTCTAACCTAATTCTATTCTAATAAAAAGGCCTAAGGGGGTTATTTTGTAGAGGAAATCATATTATTTTGAAGAGAAGGCATTAATTTGAAGAGAGACGGAGAAGCTCCAAGCTTCCGTTAACGTATAACACATGTAATACATATGCTATATATAAAATTATGCCAATTTTTTAAGCACCTATTTTGGTCTCTTGAGTCCAAAAATTGTTATTCAAGTTCCGGACTTGTGTTCAGAAGGTCCGGTTAGAACTAAATTGTATTTATAAAAATACATTCAATCTCATGTCTATCAAAATATATATTTTTTATTTGTTAGATTGAAACAAGTAAAAAAGTAGATTATTTTAACTTGATTAAACTAAAAAAAAATTAAAACTGCAATTGATTTTTTAAACTTATTTTTGTAAGAAGATATTATTTATTATTTAATACATTAGATACCTATAATTAGGGGTGTACATAAGCCGGGTTGATTCATATTTTTCAATTACCAAACCAAATCAATTGTCTCTGATTTTTAAATCTATAAACCAAACCAACAAAAGTCGAATTTTTCAATCGCGATTTTTCTCGGGTTTTTCGGTTTCTTCGGATTTTTTCCGACAAAATCTTCATAGCATAAAATTTATAATTTATATTCTAATATTTCTTAGGTCCTATTAGGATAAACTATATAAGATATTACCCAACAAATAATACAAAATAATATAAGGTGAATCATCATTATATTAAAATACTCAAAAAATCGCATAAGATAAATATTGCTAATTCATAAGCCATAATAAAAATAAACATAATCTAAAAGTATAAGTCATGTTAAAATAAGTACGACTAAGTAGTACTAAGTATTGATTACATGACTAAATAATATTAAAAGTAATGCATTTTCACTATCTAAGCCGATGCAAAATTAAAAATATAAATATTCAATACTATTGTCATTCCTAGTATTGACTTGAATTTTTTTTTGTTAGCAATAGTATTGTTTTGATTATGCTTTGGGCTTTATTTGAGTTACTAATTTTTATAGGTTATAAAACGTATTTGACCATTCAAAAGTTCTAAATCCAAGCTTGAAATAATATATTAAAAAAGAGAACTATTAAAGAGTTTAAAAAATATTTATAAATTACATTACAATAATTATTTTTATGTATAAAATATTTTTAAAACTTGTATATATGTAATGTCGGGTTGGCTTAGTTCCGATTTAACTTTTTTAGTTAATACCAAATCAAACTAATTATGGTCGGGTTTTTTTTCTAACACCAAACCAAATCAAACCAAACCATAGTCGGGTTTTTTTTCTCGTTTTGACTCAGATTCTCGGTTTGATGCAGTTTGTCTGTTTCCTTTGTACACCCCTACCTATAATAATTTAAATTAATTTTAAATAAAATAATATATTTTAAATATTTGAAAGTATTTTTAATATTTAGGAGATACACGCATATAGATATAATAAGCGAATAAAGCTTATTTAATATTCGTATACTTATTTAAAATTTTTATAATCAAAATGCTTATCTTTAAGCAAAAAATATATAAAACGGTCTAATTACTAGTTGTGTGTTGTGAAAGCATGACGTGTGCGAAAAAAGAGAAAGAGACGAACAAATATGTAGGTGGCTTTTGCGCCCTAAACTTAATTACGATACTACCCCTTTTCATTCTATATAAAAAGCGTAGGCACTACTCTCCGCCAGTAGGGTTTGGTGCTCACATCTCTTGAATACAGAAGAAGCCGCCGCCGCACAGAGCAAGATTTGAAACCTAGCAATGGTTTGCCCTAAGCACTTACTCTTTATTCTCTTCGCTAATATACTGCTAAGATTATTGTACTGATCAATGTTTTGGAACTTATTTTCTGATTTTTGGCTGTTGGATCTCAGTCGCTCGTTGCAAATGAAGAATTTCAGCACATTCTTCGTGTGCAAAACACCAATGTCGATGGGAAGCAAAAGATCATGTTCGCTTTGACCTCAATCAAAGGTATCGGTCGTCGTTTCGCCAACATTGCCTGCAAGAAAGCTGATATCGACATGAACAAGAGGTTAGCCCCTTTAAACTGGCAGTTGTTTAGCTCTCACTGAAGATTCCTCAAGTGTATTAAATGTCCATTTGCAATGGTGTTTCTATTTCCCCCTTTTAGCTTATTGCCTTGTTAAAGATTCCACCTTATTATACTATTGATTTGACAGAGAAATATTAGTTTTGTTTGCTGGTTTTTGATGTATGTTGCTTTTTAACTTTTCAAAGATTAATTGGTGTTTTATTTTGTAATTGTTTTTGTCTTGCATTATTGAGTTAAACATTAACCCGAAACTTAAATTAAGTTATAGTCATGAATAAAGATGATAGAATATATTTTGCCTAGAGCCTGATGGCGCTTTGTTTTTTCTTTGGGACCGAGAGTGATTACTAAGTGTTGTATAACAGAATGGCTCTTTTAGCAGGGAATCTGAACTAGTATCTTTAATTGTTTTTTATCTCTCTAGTATATGGCATGTGCAACATCTTTAAGACATTTTTAACAGTTTCAAGCAGGGATAATTTCCATCCCCCTTTTCTTGCTAGCAAACAGTCTTATTTGTTCTTACCTATCCAATGAAATTTTGGCCAAGGATTAAAGATTCTCTTTCAGCTCGCTTTAGAATTTTCTGTGCATTGTTCTTTGAGATTTTTGTGAAGGTTGATTTCATCTGTAGTTTGTTGGGCATGATATGAGGGTAAAACAGGAGTTAACAATCCTATAGATTTTTTACTGCTTTATATTTATTTCTTGAAACCTGAGTTTGCTTTTATGCTCTGTTCTGTAGGGCGGGAGAACTTACTGCTGCAGAGCTTGACAGTGTGATGGTGGTTGTTGCAAATCCCCGTCAATTCAAAATACCTGATTGGTTTCTGAATAGGCAGAAGGATTACAAGGATGGCAAGTTTTCACAAGTTACCTCTAATGCTCTTGACATGAAGCTTAGGGATGATCTCGAACGCCTGAAGAAGATCAGGTAGTCTGTCATCCGATGCTTTTGCTGTTTAAGTATTCCTCTTTGTCTTTGGTAATCAAAATATGGTGAATTCTCACTTGTAGTTCTCAACCAAGGAAAACATATGGTAAATGAGTAGTAGTTTTCTAAATCTTGCTTCGCTGTGCTTGCTTTTTATTTTTCATCTTTACTAAATTTATATCATCTGATGGTTACAGGAATCATCGTGGTTTACGTCACTACTGGGGTCTCCGAGTGCGTGGTCAACACACAAAGACCACAGGGCGCAGGGGGAAGACTGTTGGTGTCTCCAAAAAGAGATAAATCATCTACTTGCCAGTTTCAGTTTGTTATGTGCTTTCTCTTTATGTTCTCCGGGCGATATATGTTTAAGATATTTTAGGGGATTTTGTGTTGGTATGCTTAAATTTTCTTTTCCGTTGGTGGATTACAGTATAATTTTGTTCGAAAGTGAGATGGATTTCTCTGCTTTATGATCTAGGTTTTGCAGAATGCTCTTGAATTAAATTGAATGAGTAGTTCCTTAAATGTATTCTGTTCTTTCGACTGTTTGAATGACGGGTTGGGAGCCTGAATTTGAGCATCACGATGTTGTTTCTAGGTTATTCCCAGCACTCAGGTAAACTAGCTATTAGGAAGACTAGTATTAGAGCTTATGGCAACGAATGATTACCCCGGTGTGACTTAAATCTATATCAGTAGAGATCTCTTTGGATGTTTTGATCTACCCCGGGGGTGTTTCGTTTAAACCATGCACTACCAAGGCTAATATTTGATACTCGTAGGATATACCCAAGTACAGTAGCAATATTGAATGTATGGGCAATTCATAGGGATCCTTAAGTGTGTTGAAAGGCCCTACAAACTCAAGCCTGAGAGCTTCCATTTCGATCAGGTAGGAGAACTTGTGCTGGTCTTCCTTTAGCAGAAGAGAATGCTAATCTTTATTTTGGCTTTCGTTGCTGCTGTATGATTTATGAGGAATGTTTATTTTTTGGGTGCCAAGTAAAGCTAAAATTTGGGAACAATTTTGGTGTTGATTAGTAGCCTGACAATGATCAACAGCCTTAGAACAGATATTATACGTTTATGGGATGATGTGGACAAATAGCAATGTAATTAGGTTTTTGTCATTGCAATGGCCTGTTAGGTCAGCCCCAATGTCCGTTAATGTTATTTATTCACTCTATCTGTGACGCATCTGGTTTTAACGGTCGTTTCAGATATGGTGGTTTTATCCCTTAGTTATAAACTTATAGGAGTAATAAAAAATGTAGCAGTGAATTCTGGATTTTGTACAAAAGCCTAGCAGCCAATGACGCACATTGGTTCTATGCCACTGTAACGGAGCAACGGAAAGGCTTATCAGAAATTTGGCTGGATAAATATTGACGGATGGGATGAACAGCTAAACATATGAAAAAAGAAATTTAAAAAGCAGCAAAAAGTAGCTATTGAAAATTAGTACTATATATGTCTGCGCTTCGCGTTGTACTGAAAAAATTAAAATATAATTAAATATTCTTTGATAGTTGTCTCAGTAGTACCCTGTATGAAATTCTCGGACAAATAGAATATGAGAAATATTCCACACTAAATATGAAATAATCCATTTAAACGAATATATATGAACTTGAATAAGAAAAATAGAAAAAAATACCGAAGAAGGAAAATTGGTAGTGTAAAAATCTGGAGGATATGCAAATCAGAATCTTTCATCTTCCTTGATCTAAGGCCATTTTCTCGCTATTTGTTTTCCTAGTATGAATTTTTGATCCCTATGTTTTTCCCGTTTGGTGTCATAAGGTTGATATATCAAATAAAAATTAAACAAAAGCTAAGAAGTAAATGAAACAAAAAGAGAAATAGCAAAGGCAAACGGATGAAGAAAAAGAAGAAAAAGTAATCAAACGCACATATGTTTCTCCAATGCCTTTTGTTTATTTTGTTAATTTCTTTTGTCTTTTTGTATATCTCTATTCAATTTTTTCTCCTGTTCTAAATTTCTAATTGCAGCAACCCAAAGCTCCTAATTCTTTCGTAAAAATAGCACGGTATAACCAGTTTTCGGACTGGTCAATCAAAAATAGTCAGCATTTACCATGTCAATGAAAAATAGCCACTATTTTGCTGCAACAAAGACCGGTCCAGTATAATATACTGGAGTTCGGTGCACATGTATATGAACTCCAGCATATTATGCTGGACCAATATATTTTGCTGGCTACAATATAATATACTGGAAACTGGAGCACCGGTGCTCCAAATTCCATTATATTATGCTGGACCGGTATACTTGCTAGAACTCCAGTATATTATGCTGGAGTTCCAACATACTTATGCTGGAACTCCAGCATAATATGCTGGAACTCCAGCATAATATGCTGGCGTATTTTTCGGGTTTTAAATAGTGTTTTCGCTCAGATTTATCTTTACATGAAAAGTGGCTAAATTTCGATTACTTTTGAAACTGGGCTATTTTTGAACGACCAGTTGTAAATCTGGCTATTTTTGAATTTAACCCAATTCTTTCACTAATGTTTTAGATATTTTCCAACGATTTGATTCTTTAATACAGCTTAATTCTGAAAGCAAAATGTTTGATNTATATACTCCATCTTTTTTAATATATGAAAATACCTAATTAACCTAAATGAGAACTTCACCATAGAGTAAAACTGGAAGGTATTAAGATAAATTCTCTTTCTTGTTATATTTTATGAATTTAGTACTACTAACTACTAAGTGATGAACACAAAAATTAGAAATGGCACGAATTTGAGATTTTCATCGTCAAAATTTTCTATATGATTTATGAAAAGGAAAAAGAAAAAAGAATTTGAACGAAGACAAAGAGAAAGAAAATTGCGACTTCAAGATCAGCAAAAGACCGAGAATCAATTTGCATTAAAGTGTTTACCTTGAAAATGATATTAACAATTATATTTGATTTGTGGTTCTAAAAATACGTGATTTATCTTAATACTAATTATTATGTGAATAATGTTAAGTGTAAATGAACAAGAAATGATAAGCAAACCAGTGTGGTCACAAGACTGAGGGCCTCGAGCTCAGCGATATGGGACCTCGAGGACAACCTTTAGAGGTTGATGATGAGCAATAAATGAAGAGCAATAAATGAACAATAAATGAAAAACAACTAATGAACACAATAAATGAGTGGCAATAAAGCTGTAGAATAGTTGTTGAGCTCGTTTAGGCAAGGAAAGCAGAGAATGTTCTATTGTATTCAATATTCATGTGTGTTACAAAGTGAAAAGTGTGCCCCTCCAAGAACGTTTGGGTCCCCTTTATATAGGAGGAGTGAATCCCAACACAATACAAGTCTAAACATGACAGAGAAATGCTATTGGTGTAGCTGTGTAACAGACTTGTACTCTCTTTACAGACCTTATCAGCTCTAACCACGCGTCCTCGGGAGTTTTTCCGCCTTTCCATGATGGTCATCGATTTTATACTGCCTCGAGGTTGATCATAGTGAACCTTCTATGTGCTCCCTCGAGGGACGCACCTCGGGGTCACACTCCATACTCTGCTTCGAGCTTCTCGAGGTTGGGCGTGGAGTGCCACTGTATCCCCTAAGTCGAACTCCCCGATATTGGCCGTATACAGATAGTCCCCGCGTTTCTTAGAATAGAATGATATGAAACGACTATGACCTCGATTTTCTCGAGCCTCTCGTGATGATGTCACACTCGTGATGTAAGCGTTCGAAGTGATCGAAACGTCCCNGTGGAGTGCCATAGTATCCCCAAAGTCGAACTCTCCAATTTTAGTCGTATATAGATAGTCCCCGCATTTCTTAGAATAGAATGATATGAAATGACTATGACCTCAATTTTCTCGAGCCTCTCGTGATGACGTCATACTCGTGACGTAAGCGTTCAAAGTGGTTGAGACATCCCATCGGTTCGTCTCCCCAGAAGCATTGAATATACCGCTGGTCCATTTTCCCAAAAGCGTTGATTGTGCCGTCGATCCGTTTCTCCAAAAGCATTGATTGCGCCATTGATTCGTTTCCACAAAAGCATTGATTACGCTATCGGTTGCGTCATTGTCTCTTTATATATGAGGGATTGCTTGAACCAAAACTTCACTCATTCTTTCTTCAACAGCCTTTAGCCCTTTCCCTTCTCTATATCCTCTTCTAAACTTCTATTTTTACGGTTCAACCCTGTGACCACAAGGTCATACGGTAACAACTTTCCAGTTATGCCATGACTTTTTTTCGAAGCTTTTCTCCACTGAGTGGGATTATACCGAGTTGTTGTTGTTGTTGTTGTTGTTGTTGTTAGCCCGAAATAATGAGAGAAGGGCACCAAGTTCTTTCCGTATCAGAAGATATGTGGCCCTTATACCGCTGCTCATCTCTCTTAACTTCAACCTAGTGTGGCGCTTCATTCTTTTTGCTTTCCATGGAGTTAGGTGGCACTATCTACTAACTTTTGCATCCTACCCCAGTACAATGTCTCAAGAAGTGACTTCACAATAGTAGTGCTGACGAGACCCATACTCGTCAAGTTTTTCACCAAGCCACAATTTTCTTCGCTTGTTAAAAGCTTTTGCTCTTTGATAGGCTATAGCCTTATATTCATCCATTGCTATTTCGGAGGAGGTTCTCGAAGACGCCGCTTTAAAGATCAAAATGGAGTCCCCGAGAAAAAGTTTCTCGAAGATGTTGCTCTTGAGGATATACCCTCGAAAGTAGATTAGGCCTTTGGCTATTGTTTTTTGTTTCTGTGTAAGGGCCCCTCGTGGGCTTTGTAAACATCTTTTATTACTATAAGAATTTCTTTATTTTGCCTTCGATTTGTGTTGAACTCCATTCTGCCTTCGTTTGTGAAAAATCCAAGTGTATGACTCTAACGATTAGCCCGAATACTAGACCTGGAACATAATAAACCCTTAGGTTTTTAATTGATTAATATGATGCTTATTAAAGCCCTTTATTATCCCTCGGACCAAGCTTGGATTGATTTGATGCGGATTTAGGTCGCTAGGACTTCCGAGTCCGAGTTGAATGAGAGATGGGTCTCGATTTTTAAAATAAAGCTAGCCCTTTTAGGCTTTGTTGACAATCCTCGAGTGAGAATTTTCTCGAACTTGAAATAAAGATAGCCCTAAGGCTTTATAGATAGTCGAGTGAGCCTTCGCTCGAACTCGAAACAAAGATAGGCCTGAGGATTTGTACATAGTCCCCGAGTGAGAACTTGCTCGAACTCGGGTAGCCCTTGGGCTTAATAGTCGAGTGAGCGTTTGCTCGAACTCGAAACAAAATAGACCTGAGGCTTCGTAAATAGTCCCCGAGTGAGAACTTACTCGAACTTGGGTAGCCCTTGGGCTTAATAGTCGAGTGAGTGTTTGCTCGAACTCGAAACAAAGATAACCCTGAGGCTTTGTAAATAGTCTCCGAGTGAGAACTTGCTCGAACTCGGTAGCCCTTAATTGGGTGAAAATTTGTTTGAACTTGAAGTAAAGATAGCCCTAAGGCTTTGTAAATAGTCCCCGAGT